GATGCAGAAGAAGAAAACCACAGAGCCATCATTATCTGCAAAGGAGCTGGAAGAGCACAGCTGAGGAAAGTGGATTGATCGGCTCTAGATGGTCAGATAAATAATAAACTAACTGCCAATCAAATCAATTCCTCGTCGTTGAGGGTCCATCAGGTTCTTTTGATCACAGAAAACTCTTGTTGTGATGTTTATCCTCTTCATTTATCACCATAAACTCAGACATGTCACAGTTAAGATACAATCAAAGGTACCTTTAGTTTTTTTCCTTAGGTTGGTCACTAATGTGTTCTGTGCAACAGTTTAACTGACTTTAAGTAATTCCTTAAGTATAAGACTAAGATGAGAAAACCTTAAATACTTAAGTGAACATTTTAAAGAAACCTTAAGGAGAAGACTTAAGGGTGTTTTGTGCAATAGTTTTTATTTTAAGTCAATCTTAAATTATTCAAATTGGAAAATCTTAATTTAAGATGCTCTTTGCAACTGGCCCCTGTTCCTGGTGGTGTACCAGAGCTTCATCGTGATGGTTAATTTAGGGCTGGAGTTTCAGTGCTGAGAAATTTAAACTTATAGAACATAGTTTGGAGAACTGTAAGATAACAGACAAAAAACGTGTTGATGGGGAAATTGAAATGTTTTTCTGTTGTAATCCATGAAAGAATGAATGAAGAATGAATGTTATTAGATAGATAGATAGATAGATAGATAGATAGATAGATAGATAGATAGATAGATAGATAGATAGATAGATAGATAGATACATAGATAGATAGATAGATAGATAGATAGATAGATAGATAGATAGATAGATAGATAGATAGATAGATAAAAGAGTACACTGGCCACCACTGACTGATAAAACATGCAGCATTTCACTGCAGACGTCAAAGGACCTGAACCTCCTGAGGAAAAAGGTAGATGGTCTCTGTGTTCAGGGACCATTCCAGTTTACTGTTCAGGTGCACACCTAGGTATTTATAAGTGTGCACCACTTGGATGGTGTTAAATGCACTTGAGAAATCAAAGAACATAATCCTCATGTAACCACCTGGCTCATCCAAGTAATCATCCAGGTGGAGCATGTAAAGGACAGCATCATCCACTCCAATATGATCTTTGTAGGTGAACTGTAGGGGGTCTAGTGCATGTTCAACCTGTGGCCTCAGAAGGTGGAGAAGCAGCCGCTCCAGGGTCTTCATGATGTGTGATGTGAGGGCCACCGGTCTGTAGTCATTTATCTCAGCCAGTCGTCCTACTTTAGGTACCGGAACAAATTATGTCTAAATAATGAATTTAAGGGGTATATATAACTTAAATTATTGTTTCTTGCATTGGTCAACTCTGGCTTGGTGAAAAAATGAATGTTGAGAAAGATAATATCTCTTCAGTTGACCTTCCTTTAAACACTGACCACATGAAACCACTCTGTGACACATCCTGGTTCTGATTAGTTTGTAGTCTTAGAAACTAGTTAGGCTCTGCATCTAGTTTCCACCTAGAAGCTCTGATCCATGTGCAGAGGAGAGGGTGCGTTGGTGCTTGTTCAGTGTTTCTGTTGATCCACCTTCATGAATGTGTCAGTGGTGCAGTCTGACTTAGTTTTCAGAAAATGTTTTACAACATATTCAGTGTATAGGCAGCTGAGAACTGTTGCTGTATAACATGTGATTAACTTGATCTTTCTCCAAACATTGTGACTTAACTGAGAGAAAACCGACTTTAGCAGCTTGCCCGCCTCTGCATCTATACTTAGTATTACCATAGCAACGGCTCTCTGTCACAAGCACAGGCCTGGAACAACAGACCATAATAATCTGCCAGCCCACTCGTAGCCAACACAGTGCCACCGTGGTAACAATATGAAGGCTTGAGTTTAGCCCATGGAACATTTTTAGGTCATAAACACTGATTTAATCTGCTCTGCATACACACAGTATGTTCTGTACTGTGTATGTGCCTGTGTGCATTCATGATCGTGTGTGTGTGTGTGTGTGTGTGTATGTGCAGATCCCTCTGTGTGTGTGAGGGGTGGATGGATGTAATTGTAGACTGCATGAGTGACCCAGTTCAACACTGACGTGAGCCGTCGTTGCTTTAGTGTTTGGTTTGATGCAGTTTGTCCTTTTATTTTTCTTAATATATCCCACACAAGACACTTTAGTTGCTTACAAAAAGCAACAATAATATTCACAGTATTCACCCTCCTTTCAGTTCTGTTTTGTTCTCCACCACCTCATGAGGAAAACAGGGCTGTACCCCGCCTCTTCACCTGCCTTCTCTCCCCTCATTCTGTTTGTTAAAATAAGCGACAGCTTCATCTTCACCAGCTAAATGGATTCAACAACAGGCAGTTGTGATCTCTCTTTCTCACATACACACATACATACACATACATACAAAAGATGCATCCTTCACATCTATATGTGAAGGTCTATACTACGCTGCACAATTAGTCAAAATATAATTGAAATCTCAATATGGCCAAGTGCAATATCCATACCTCAGAAACATCAATTTCTTTGATAAGGTAAATGTGTCACATTGTTGTGCACTGTTAGCATCATAAGTGTTGTGTTGCTACAGAGACGCCCCAGCCTACAAATCATATTCTCCAGACGTAAAGGAACATGTTTTTATTCAAGACCCAACAAAAATCACATAATCATCATTTTTATATTTTTTTCAGTGAAAATGAAATGAAAAAAATGATAATTCCAACTGAAATTGCATATTGCAATTGCAATATTTTTTTTTATTTTTTTTTGCATCATGCAGCCCTAGTCTACTGTCTCTTTTAGCTCAGTCTAATGCATTATAAACTGTAGTCTGGGTCCAGAGAGATGTGTAGTAATGTACATTTTACATTTACTCATTTTGTAGATGCTTTTATCCAAAGTGACTTACAAGTGAACAATATCACTAAAGCTTCAGTGCAGTGGGAGAGCTTGGTGTAAGTAGTAAGTACTACATCTATTTAGTAAGTGAAGGAGATCAGGTGAAGAAGTGCAGGTAGAGTTACAGTAAGAGCTTGTTAGACATGTTAGGGTGTTAGAGGTGTTAGGAGAGGAGGTCTCTCTGAAGAGAGGAGTCTTCAACAGATTCTTGAGGAGAGAGAGACGCTCCTGCTCTGATAGTGTTCAGTAGCTTGTTCCACCATCAGGGAACCACAGCCCAGAACAGTCTGGATCACAGTGGCTAACGCAGTACCTACAACCTGTTTGTTCTTCATGACTCCTGACTGGACTTAAAGAGAATAAATCTATATTTATGGGTTTGGGCTTCAGTGGATCAGACAAGGATTTCCATCAGTTCTGGATCGAGTCACAAACATAAAACAGCTGCTCTGATGTTTCTACATTTACGTGGGTCTGCTGAGGTGAAACTACAACGGTGTGTCACTTGAAATGTTGCTGCAGCAAGGAATTGTGGGACGGCATCTTCTTCTTTCCTTTCATAAAGGAAGGTCCGGTGCTTCCTCTGCTAAAGGGGATAAGATAGGAAGCACTGAGGCTCCTTTCCTCATCATCTAGAGAAGTGGAGCAGCTCTGATCATGGCTGCTGCTCAGAGACTTCTGCTCATTTCACTCAGTTTGAACTTTCTTAAGAAAAAAAGACTTTTCCACCGCAGCCTTGGAAAGGGAGTTGGCAGTTGGTTGCAATCTGTAACATCACCACTAGATGGCACTACATCCTACACACTGGTCCTTTAAGTTGACTTTCTAAACCAAAATTACCTACAAGATGGTAACATGGTAAATAATAATTCTGACTGTTTTAGACTATGAGTGATTTAAATTGTAAGTCAAATGTATAAGATATCAACTCATAATTTTGATAAAGTACAAAATGAGATACTGTCTCTTTTCACAGAGAGCCACAGCTGGTTTAAGGAGGACAACACCTGAGCTAACTGACGGTAACCAAGACGACTGTAGCTCTGGCAACAGTAACCCTGTGGACGATTCTTCCACTCCCACACAGCCAGCGGATCCAGTTACCATGGAGATCAGCTCATCACCACCACTAACAGACCTGGAAAGAGACAACTTATTTAGCTTCCACGGCCAGGAAGTGGAGGAACTCCACTACCCAGAAGTCCATGGGATAGAAGAAGCTGCAGAGGGAGAAAATGGAAAAAGAGATGGAGATGAGTGTGACTATCTTGTTTTTGAGATAGGAAAAGACAGAGGAGGTGACAGTGAAGAAGGACAAGACACAGAGAAAGGAAAAGAGGAGGGAGATGATGACAGAAGAGGAGAAACAGAGGGAGAGGATGAAGGGAGAAGAGAGATAGAGGGAGAAGAAGAAGGGAGAGGAGAAACTGAAGGACAAGTTGAAGAAAGAGAAATAAAGATAGAAGACAAAGATAGAGGAAAAGTAGAGGGAGAAGATGGAAGTAAAAGAGAAACAGAGAGCGAAGACTGGGGGAGGAGAGAAATAGAGGGAGAAGATGAAGGGAGGGAAAAGATACAGGGAGAAGATGAAGGGAGGGAAAAGATACAGGGAGAAGATGAAGGGAGGGAAAAGATACAGGGAGAAGATGAAGGGAGGGAAAAGATACAGGGAGAAGATGGAGAAAATGTAGAAGCAGAGGGAGAGATGAAAGAAGATGCTCTATCAGAGCTGCTCTTCATCTCTAACAGTCCACTGTGTCCCTCATCATCAGAGCCTCTGATCATTACCTCAGAGCCTTCAGAGCAGCCAGCAGCGGCCTTGTTGCAGGACGCCTGGGGTCACGACCCCGGCAACAGAGATGACCTCAGCGATGGTCACCTTAGCGACTGCCTCCAGGCTGAGCTGGCTATTGTGTACTCTGACAGTGATGCTGGAGAAGAGCAGTGGGCAGCTTTTGTACCCTCTGATGTCACCAACCAGGAGGACGCAGGCTGCATATGTGATGGAGAGAGCAAGAAAGAGGAGAGGGGAGAGGATGAGGAGGGGCGAGAGGAAGAGGACAAGGCAGAGGTAGAGAGTGCAACAGAGGAGCAGAGGGAGGAAGAAACAGAGGAGGAGGAGAGGAGGGGAGTTGGGGATGATGATGAAGAACAGATGAGATCAAGGAGGGATCATTTCCTGCGGTCTCCTTCAGCCAGCTCCACAGCCAGCTCCACAGACCCTGACCGGAGGGTGAGTCAGTCTTATCTTTGTTTCTACAAGTTACTTTCCCACTTTGTCCAAATGTTCATTTGATTATTAGCCACAAAGTAGGTACAGTAGTCTCTGTGCTGAGCCCAGTATGCGTAGAAATTCATATAGGATGATTCTTTTGCACACAATTCAATTTATTTTATTTCACCATGATAATCATTTCTGTTTAATAGTAATAGTAAAGTAACATCTCGCCATGTCTGTACTGTGTGTTTAATAATCTCATCCTGCTCCTGGTTTCCCATCAGCTCCCTGTAGATTTCTGTGTGCACCAGGAGACACACAGTGAGAACGTCTCCACGGAGCATGTGGACTTTCTGTTGGCTCGCCAGCAGTGGAAAAAGATGGAGGAGGAGGTCAAAGGTCGGGCCATCCCCAAACCGGGGCTCAGAGCTCAGGGGAGCTTCCAGGGCACCCACACCTCACTGTATCCCCCGACCCGCAGCCCCCGACTCAAACACAGGTAGAAAACTCTGGAGATTGACATTTCCTGTTTTTTAGACACAGACTGTGTATGATTTAATAAATCTGAAAATCAGTCTTTATTTTTCTCATGCAGCATGAATTGCTGTAGAGCTGAAACAGCTAGTTACGTAAAGGAGCTATATGTAAGTTTTACCATCGCTACATAGCCAACATTAGCATTAGCAGCTGTTTACTCACCAGTCTAGAAGAAATGTTGTGAGTTCAGCATCAAACTTCATTCATTTACTCATGAACAGCTGTCTCCAGAGATGGAAACAAACACCAATGTTAACTCTTGTTTCTATTACATCTTTTCTTCTACTGAAGTTAGCATGCTAACCAGCTAGCCTCAGCACATCTCCTCACTTTCCGATAGCAACTCACTGTAGCCTCCAGTCTATCCTGAAGACATAGCTTCTAAGAGGATGTATCATAACCTCTTGTTTTATCAAGACAACAATGACCAAAGCTCTTGTCAAGCAACAGTCATCACCACCTGCTCCCAGCAGAGGAAACTTACAAATAACCCCCTTAAGCAATTAGTTGGTCAATTATTATTTTAATGATTTCTTAATCATTTAAACAATTTTTCAGGCAAAACTACTAAATATTCTCTGGGACCAGCTTTTAAATATGAGAATTTGTTTTTCTCAGCCTAATGTGACAGAAAACTAAATCTTTGGGTTTTGATCTGACAAACCTCTGACTTCACTGTTTCCTGAGATTTTTTCCGACCAAAACAATAACCAAATAAATGTTAAAACAATCAGCAGATCAATGGTCCTTAATTGCTGACAATTTCCCTAAATTTACAAAGCAGGCATTGCATGTTTCCATCATGTTATATGGACATTTAAGATTTGAATATAAAGGAACAACGTCAAAAATTCTCTTAAAACAATGAAAAGGAAACACAACTGTTAGCCCTTGTTGGT